AGCCCCACCCCCCAGCCTGGGGGCAGCGGCGGCTCAACCTCACCCCATCAGCCGCTACAGCACATTGCTGCATTAGCGTTGGACCTGGGCGGGACCCTTACCAATCTGCGTCTCACCCTGAGCACAACAAAAAGGGGCTTTCTACCAAACTGGCATCAGTGCCAAAAAAAATAACCTGTTTTCACTGCTCAAGCACCCAGAAGTAGAGCAGTGAGTCCAGTTACATGGAGCAGAGAGTAGATGGGGCCTTATGCCACCAGGATGAGCAATGCCTTGGCACAGATACGGCATCAACATGATGTGTTGGAGACGTGACAAACCTCTGCCTCCCCCTGAGGCCCCCAGGTGACCTGATCTACGGAGACTTGTCCGGCCCCAGGTCTGCTTTGTGCACACGTTTGCTTGCTGGCCCGTTGCAGGAGCATGCAGGGAGTACAGGGGGCATCACCCACTTCCCTCGGGAATCCAGCTCCTTCAGGTGGGACAGGACTTTGTCCTCCAGGACTTTGTCCCTGATCCTCGCAGCCTGGCAAAAGCCCTGGTTTTTTTAAGAACCTGAAACCCTCCTCACCCTGCCTCCCTGCAGAGCATTTCCCAAAGACTCACACACACATTTATACGTGGAAATTGCAGCCTGACTGTGAACAAGCTCCTAGCAAGGAGATGCTGCATCTGATTAATGAAACATTAATTGCAAAGCCCTGGTCTGGCTCCCATGTTTGCCCGTGCTGGCGTGTAACTGGGCTGGACATTGCGCCCCACTTCATCTCACTGCCGGTATCCCATGCATCATCTCCAGCCCTCCCTCCACAGCGGGTGGGAGGAGAGGACGGCAAGACTGACGCCCACAGCACTGGTTAGCGTCTATAGCAAGGATTGCAACCACCAGTGCCCTGCGGCTGGGTTACACCTGCAGGCTCATGCCCTGTGCACACTTTGCACTGCGCTCGCACAGCACCGACCCCGCACCCGGCAGATGTCCTGGGGGAGGCCAGCCCGGCAGCGGGGTCCCCTCAGGCGGGCAGGGAAAGCTGGAGCTGCACCCCTGGGCAAGGGGGATCTGGGCTGGAGGAGAGGAGATGGGCTGGGCAGCTGGGCAGGGCCAGCTTTGAATCAGCTTAGCATGTTTCGGTGGCACTTAGTGGCTCTTATCAGCAAGGGTTTTCCCCCACCAGGCACAACCTCCCTGAACCGCACACAAATCCTTAATAAAATGACTGCTGGCTGTGTCCTGGCACCTGGGCAAGAGGGAACATGCGGCTGCTGCACAAAGGCCCTGTGCCTCCGGGCAGCCTCTCTGGATACTTTAAAATGAAAGAAGACAGTGCCCATCCTTGCCTCCCTGCTGGGGATGGCAGGTTTCGGGGAGGGGCACAGAGCTGCCGCAGCGCAGCACGGCCATAGGAGAGCTACCTGCCTGCAGCTGCTGGGTTGGCCCCTGCCCACGCATCAACACATGCGTGATCATGTGCACATTTGCACGTGCTGGTGTGTATGTGCCGGCACAGGTATAAGCGTGCACAGCTACACTTTCAAAGAAATGCCTGCAGATGCCCCCGGTAAAAAGCTCAACCCAGGACACAAACTGCAAGGACCTCCAAAGGTCTCGTGGGACAGCCGGTGGGCTGCAGGCAGCGGCAGCGGCAGCGACAGGGAAGATGAGCTGCTGGAGCCAACGGCTACATTCAGCGAAATGAAGAGCCATGCCAGGCCTCCATGCCTGGATAGGGGGTACTGCCGTCCCAGCCTGGGGAGCAGGTAGGAGGCACGCCACTCAGCTGCGTTCCCCACCACCCCACTGAGAATCACCATGGGTCACCAGCTTTGTCCCCTCGTTGCTGCTCTCCGCAGGACCCCAACTCCATTCTGAAAAGAGCTGAACCCCACCGTGCCCGGAGGCCCCCTCACCTGCAAGGCTGGTTTAGGGAAAGGGCGAGGGGTTATCAGTAATACTTCCCTGCAGAGCAAATTCAGCGCCAGCAGAAGAGCTCTGCAGTGCCATTGTACTCGCTGCCTTTAATAGAAGGAAGACAGATGCAGTACCACAGGACTGGATAATACCCTCGTTTTGCTGAAGAGGCTGCAATAAACCAGTACTGGGAGATTGCAAAAGGAATAGAAGTCAGATGAGAAAGAGCTTTATGGTCTCGGAGCCCAGCACTCCCCGCAAGCCACTGGGATTTGTTTCTCAAGTGCGGTGGGTGGTCAGACCTGGACATGCAGCAGCGCAGGGAGGGAGGTGCCGTGCAGAAGGCAGCGATGGCAGCCTGGGCTGCGGCGCCCGCTCCTGCTCAACGTGTGAAACCTGCCTGCAGTGAGGTGCAATGGGGCTGCCAAGGCTGGGCTCGCCACCACATCACCCGAGCAGGCGAAGGAGCCACGGTACACGGCCCAGCCGTATGGACTGTGAGGTTTCCGTTCAGCTGCTGAACAAAGGACTGGGTAAAAGCTCATTCTTCATCAAAACAAAATGGAGATTTTTCTGCATTCCTGATGACCTCTGCCCCAAGGCGAGTGGCTGGCTGTAACTGCGGCCAGCCCTCGCAGGGAGCTGGGCTCCCGGCGCGGCAGCACACTGCCAGCCCAGCCACACGCTCCCGGCCAGTGCCGAGCTCCTCCACTCTGGCTGAGTCGCGGCATTGTTTTGGAAGCTCCTTCCTGTGCCTCATTCCTGAGCGGGATGAGCTCCGGAAGGGACAGACTGAAGGTTTTGCTCTGAAAATGGTTTAAAAAAATTCAGCTTTTCCAAAAGGAAGCATTTCAACAATTTTGAAATCTTCTTTTCTCCCTTTAAAAATGACTAATCAGCTTTTCCCAAACTCCACAGGCAGGTTCAGCTCCCTCGGCAGAGCACCTCCCCGCATCCCATCAGCGGCACATTTTGCCCTGTGCGCCTGCCACACAGCCTTTCCCCTGCCAGCGTGCTCCAGTGCGCCGTGGCCTTTCCCAGGAGCATCGCTGCATGCTGGAGCCATATGGCCATGGCATGGGGGGATGTGGTTGGGAGCGTGACTGGGTGGGCTGGGGGCTCTGGGGGCCGGGCAGGGCTTGGGGACCTCTCCAGGGACCCCAGCCCTGCCCATGCCCCAGCACCAAGCTGGGTGTCCCCGTGCCCTGGGCTGGGGTGGCAGCAGGTATCCCCGCATGGTCCTGCTCCGGTGGTGCGGCTCTGCTGCAAGGGGGCTCCTGGCTGGAGATCACCTCCCCTGTGCCCAGCACCAGCCTGGCCCCCCAGGAGGAGAGGGCTGCTAATGGACGGCCACTCAGAGTCAATCAATCCTCCCGGCGAGGCGGCACGCACACACTCTCGCCTTTAAAAGTTAAGCAAAGGATCTTCCTCTTTTAATGTCAAGGCTTTTCAACAGAGTGCTTTATCAAGGACCTGATTGCAAGCTGTCTTTAAGAGGTGATTTTTTTTTTTTTTTAAAGCAAGCATTTAACCCATTCACAAAATGTGGCAGTGAAATGCTCCCCCCGCGGGGCAAGCACTCCCCTGCCGCGTGGCCACCGAAAGTGCCTTGCTGCTGAAGGTCTGCGACCCACAGAAAAATCCATTCCCCTGCGACAAATGGGCTTGGACCAAGGGCCGGAGGGGAGACAGGGTGTGCGGAGGCACGGATGGTGCTGCCCGGGTGCAGGGCTGCAGGACCCGCATGCAGATGTGCCACATGAGAGTCTTAAACCTCCTGAGACCCTCCCTGCGGGTTCATAGGCACAAGGGGAGGAAGCCCCTGGGAGTGTTGGGTCTCCCCAAAACGTGCCCAGGCCACCCCAGTGCGTCAGCGTCCTGGAGCCAAACCCCCACGGGGATGGTACTCGCTGATCCCCGCATGGCTGGTCCAGGGCATCTCCCACCTCGGGTACCACCATCCGCCCTCGATCTCTGCAGCGTTATGAAGCAGTGACCCACCAGCAACCCCGCTTTGCTCGGAAGCCCTGAGCGGGTCCCAGGACATCGATCCCCAGCCTCTCCCCACCCGGCTTCAGCACGCCACGGGCACGAGGAGTGCTCAGATGCCCCTGACCTGCCTTCACCCCCAGGGGTGCTCTCTGGGCCTCCTCCCAGATCACTGGTGCAGGATTTGCCCCAGCAGCTCCCACGCAGGTGCACAGCACATGCCAGTGCCTCGAGCCACAGCCCGGGCAATCACTGGGTGTGAGCAGGACCCCGCACCTTGGCTACCAAGAAGTGTGAAAGTGGATTACTGTCTGCCAGCCACCTACAATCAAAACCCCACACAAGTCTAAGGTGTTAACGGTCAATGCAGGTCGCCATCCCTCTGCCCAGATACCACTGTGATGGGCACATTAAAGCAAAAAACCACCAACACCAGTGCAGCAGGGCCAGGGTCTCATCTCCCTGCTGGCAGAGCATGCTGCTGTGGCCCAGGCTACTGCTTTTTGCTGGTGCTCGCAGGCAGCTGGCTGCAAGGCTGCGTGGTCGTCGTGGCTCTGCGTGTGTGCCCCAGTAGCAAGGGCAGGGCCGTGCCAGCCAGGACGCCAGCAGGCAGGGAAAGCCGTCACATTTCCCCCAGTGCATAGGATGCTAAACATTGCTGCAGCATCCACGACCAGAAGGAGATTTTAAATCTGCCAAAAACGCTCTGGCTGTTGGCCAGGAGATGGGGTCAAGATGACCCACGCATGCTAAAGGCAGAGAACCAACTGACTACAAATAGGCTTCGTCATGGCTCCGAGATCTCTAACAAGAAGTGAGGGAGAGCAGCCCAGCAGACAGACCCAGCAACCCGCAGGAACCCCTCAGCCCGTGGGAACGGCACTGCCCTCAGTGTCCCCCACCACCACTGGTGCTTGCCTGTGGTTGGGAGGGTGGTTTGCCCCAGCCCCATGGCGAGGAGGGACTGAGGAGGGGACCAGCATCAACCCACCTCCCCGCAGCCACGCTGTGCCCCTCCACTGGCGGCAGGGACCCGCCGCACACCCAGCCCAGCCCAGCCTTCGGGCTGAAACTGCGGCAATTTGTTTAACATTCCTGGCTGCTCATCCCAATCTAAAGGTCACTGCACCCCTGTGTGCATGACATTTATATGTACATATGGCAGTAACACCTATGTAAACCAGGCTGTGCAAGGTATGTGTATATAAACCAAATCAAAGCCAGACACAATGTGAGTGTGCAAGAGTGTGTGTGTATGCACATTTCTCTGTCTGTCTCTCTCCATATATATATAAAAAAATTACATCTTAAAGGACAAAGTTGCCCGAGACTCACGACCCAACAAAATATATTTCACCCCCAGCCCATATTTTTCTTCCTGAAGAGATGCTGCAAATCTTCCCTCAGTCCTGACACATCTCATCTAGACTCAGTTAAAGTTTGTATTTATGGGCGTCAGCACTGACCTCTCCCCCCTCCGCCCGCGCGGCCTCGCGCCGCGGCTGCCTGGCCGGCCCTCGATAAACAAGCGGGCCCCCAAATCCCCCTCTGCCGCGCGGCATTATTAGTCTTGCCTCCGAAGGCCAGCGCAGTCCGTAATTCTCTGCCTGGTGACACGAGATGAACGCTGCGACATCAGTCTCCCCGGCGGATTGGCATGGGGACCCTCGTTTGTCAGTGGCAGACTGACAGAATTACTGGCCCTTAAATGAAACGATATATCTGGGAAGTTAAATCTGTTTTCAATCTGACTGCCCCGCGCCTGCGGGCGGACGTGGCGTGTGAGCCGATGTCAAGAGGCCATTAGCCCATCTCCCCCCTCCTTCCCTGGCGCAGTGGCGGAGCCGGGGGGAGCTCTCCCCAAGGGCTCCCACCCCAGCCACCCTGCCAGGAGGAGACGGCAAAGCGCCTGGTCTGCCGCTGCCCCTTGACGGGCTGCTAGTGTGGGAATGGGAACGGGAATGGGAACAAGACTTGCCAGCTCCAGGGGAGACCAGCTCCCGCTCTCTCTGGGCAGGGAGCAAAGGCTTGTCCTGGCCAGGCGTGAGCCAGTGGGTCCCCATGCCCCCGAGGGTTTGCTCCCTCCTCTCCAGGCTCCCTGTGAGGCCCGGGGGAGAAGCCAGCTCTCTGCAAAACAGCCCTGCAGCAGGAGCACATGGTTGCTGGGTGTATTCAGGCAGGGGACACCATGCATGGGGGCATCTGCTTGCACCCCCTCCTCACCTGCCTGCACCCCCTCCCCACTTGGCATCAGCCAAGCATGATGCCCTGGGGCGATGTCGCAGCACGATGCCCTTCCAGCCTGGATCCCTGCACCGGTCTCAGCAAACAGCCCTTCCCCGGCTGGGGATGGAGACCATGGCCTTCAAGCAGATGTTCCCAGGGGATGGAGAGAACTGCCGGCATCCCCTGCTCCGAGGAGCCCTGAGCACCCAGCAGGGACTGCCTGCATGACGGCCATCGATCTCCGAGATCGCGATTTTACTCCGTGCTAGTAGGCTTTAGGGTAAAGCCATAAACTCTGCACTAGCAGGAGTTCATTTACCACCCCAGCAGCTGTTTGCTTTTATGCGCCGGCAGGAGCGGGAATGGGGTTTCAGGAGCTGCAGACCTGCTCCTGCTCCCCAATGGCTTCTCTCCGTGTGCCCAAGGGAAAGCCACTGCCCCACACCAGGGAGGACGCGCTGTGCCGGGTGGGCGGCGGGCAGCTCTGGCATCGTCCCCAGGGGGGACACGCACAGAGGGGCCCGGGCACCACAGCCCTGTGCCGGGGGCTCAGAGGGAGCCAAGGCCAGCGACAACCACACTTTCTCACGCTCCCTCTGGAGTCAGGGTGGGACGTGGCGTCCTGCAGTCCCTGGCTCTGCGAGACGCTGGAAATCTGCCCCGCGCTCACCACGTGGACAAAGGCA